TATTATATATATATAATCTATAGGAGTCTGGAAATCAGTAACAAAGCTCTTTCCTGAATTGTTCCTGAGGAAAGGCAGTACGAATGGGATCTGTCTCTTCATCTGTTCTCTAAAAACCAAGGGACTTTGTTCCTCAAGGCCTTTTAAAGATTTGTTTAACTTTTTCTGAAGTAAAATCCTATATTGGTGTGCAGAAATATGTATCTTGTGGCATAAAGGAAGATTTATTTCTACTACATATCAAAGAGTTTCTGCTTTCTCTGTCTTGTGTGTTTTAAAGGGGGGGTGTGTTTTGTGTTTCTTTTTCTGTGCTAGCTGAGTTGGACAGTGTCCTGCCAGTGGCAGGGCCCCAAAAAAAAAAAGGGCCTTCAGTCATACCTCTAGATAATATCTGTTGTCTACCTCTGTTTCTTGGGATTTTGTACCTTTCCAGTTTCCATTAGCTATTAAAAAGTTGCAAGGCACTAGCATTGTCAGACGTATTTTTGAATTCTTTGCCTGATCCTGGTCTTTTGCTGTAACCAACTAGCACTCCTCCATACACTTTCTTGCATGATTTGGGAATGGTCATGGGTAAGGAACCATTTTCAATAGGCAATTTGTACGTGGCCACCTTGTTTTGGAGATTGAGAGACTTTAGTGGTGTGAACATGGTCAGGGCATGCCATTGGGCTCTGTTATGTACAACTAGTCTAGTTATATGTTTATGGTCCAACTGGCCAGGTTATGAAACCAGGCCCTCTTAAACTTACTGTGTAGCTCTTGCCTGCTTTTTTCTTTTGATAAACCACTAACCTGTGGTTTATAAGTTGACCCTTCAGAGCCATGTAGTGGGTGAAGCAAGAAACATGTTTTATATGTCAACTTCTAGCATCACTGGCTGTTTAGGCAAAATGGAGAAAGCTATTTGCCTGGCCTTTGTTTGTGTCCTTCCGAGTTTGAGGCTTATTCTGTGCTTTGGGATGGCACTTCGTAGATGACTCTGTACCAGCAGTTGGTGCTTGATGCTTTTTGCAAATTACGGGGTGGAGGCCCGGGTTTCAAGGTAGCACTGTAGAGCTGTACAAACCTAGGTCTACATCACTGTACTATGTTCAAGCTTGTTTGGGATTTCTCTGTCTCAGCTGCTCTTTCTGCAATCAGGTTCTAGCCATTTTTGCAGATGAAAGTCAAGCACAAGCATGTTGACTGTTTGGACCCAAGCAGAAAGCAAGGCAGCTTCTGATGCCTTCCCAGCCCTGACAATATTGAGCAATAGATTATTTGTGCAGCCAGTCTCTCCTTAGGTTTTACTTACCAGTTATAATCCATACTGATTTCCTTGCTTCTATTCCTGCATAATAGCATTCTGGGAAAAAACAGGGAAAACAGAGTTTAATGTTGGACATTGATTGTAAAAGAGTGCTTTTTAGGAAGTGCTGTTTAATTGTTGTTTCCTTTTCCATTAACCAGCTGACTGTTACTGTGGAAAAGCTGGCTGCTTTATTAGAAAACAGTCAGAAGTTTGCTTACCAGTGATAATGTGAGTGAACAAGTGAAATGATATAATTCAAATTAATTTTTATTGCTAATGGGCTGATGCTTTTCTTCTGGGAGTAAAGCCATAATATTGAGATATTATTTCTAGGCCTTGCTGGAGATGGTGTTTGGTGCCAAGGTGGTTGTCACTGGTGATGGATTTGTTCCTGGAGAAAGGAGTGTCATTATCATGAACCATCGCACACGAATGGACTGGATGTTCCTGTGGAACTGCCTGCTGCGATACAGCTACCTCAGACTTGAAAAAATCTGTCTCAAATCCAGTCTCAAAAGCATTCCAGGATTTGGTAGGTCACTAAACCCTTTAACTTGAAAGGAAAATGTGTTTAAATTTTGCACAACACTGTACATACCCTGTTAAATGACCTAGGTCTAAATTTTCTTTCAGTATTGTTAAAAAACTTGTGTAAAATATGTGCCATATTGAGTGATTAAACCGTATAACTCCCAGAGGACACCTGGACTACATGCTTAAACATTTATTTTTAAAGATATTACACGTGCTGCTCTTGCTTATAGGTAAAAATATTTCTGCGTTACATACTGAAAGCATTTTTCAAAATTATGAAAAAAGACTTTAGGAGTCGTCTTAAAGTCTCTTTCAACACTTGGTTTTTGGTGCTATTTCACCCCATGTTGCAAATGCTCTCATCAGGCTTCTTTCTTCATTATCCAATTTATACTATTGAGAAGATTTAAAAAAAAAAAGAAAAAGCCCTGTAGGCAATTGGAAAGATGATGGTTCATTTTAATAACTGTAGTTTTAAATTGAACTTGGTCACGAAATATGCTGTGTAGGGTATGAAATAATCAGTATTTATACTGATGTAGGCTGGAAACAGACCTGAGTTGCACATACTCAGAGAAATTGTTTCAGATGGGCCAAAAATTATTGCACAAATGATTTCTGAATAAATAGGCGACTTACCTGAAATAAAAGCATCTCTTTACATTTTATTTATCTCTTAGATTTATTTGCTGTTCTATACAGAACTAGCTTGGGCAGGATATGCGTCAATTTTATGATGTCAAAAGAGTAACCTTATTTATGGTTCCCTTTTGTCAGACCATTTATCTGAACAGATAATTTTGGCAGGATTCCATATGGAGGAACGCTCACACTGCTGCGCTGTTACTGCATTCACTTGCTGGGCCTTTAGTCCTCTTAAGAGCTGCAACTAGGTAACACTTCTTTCCCCAACAGTCAAATATTAAGGCCAATTTTACTTGACAAAGGACATCTCTTTCAACATTACAGGAAATGAGAAAATACGTATTTAGATAAATGTTTTATCTTCATAACACAGCAGAGATGTTTTGAAATCTTGAAATCAGCTGCAAATGCAACTTTTAAAGCAATGATGGAAGATGAAATCGGGAGTATAGTCTGGAAGATTCATAGGTTTTTGTTTTTTTTTTTTTTTGGTTTTTTTTTTTTTTTTAACAGAACATTTGTATGTATGCTTGTTAATGCCTTTAATAAAATTGGAAGGTCAGCTTCAGGAGCTTGGATGCTATGTTATTTATGCTTGGCAAAATTTGGTTCCTGAAGGGGTGTCAGGAGTTGTTTAGAGGTTGACTTCTGCCCCCCCGCTGCTGCCTCAATTCTCGTTTCTGTGTATAAACTGAGCACATCTAATAGATTTGATGAGTAGGCTCAGGCAGATGGAGCCGTGCCAGGTCAATGTTAGCAGACCACGATGCTATCTTTGTTCATAGTCTGACACAGTAGTTTAAGCCACTAATCAAATTCTGGGCTCATACTCTACTTTGTGGGCTGTGATGGTAGAAGTGGCACAGGCAGACATTTACTCCTGTTGTTTGCATTACAGGATGACAATTTCTGGCAGTAGATTGGGTGCCTAGATCTGCAGTGTTATAAACCACTATTTATGTGCCAGATCCCTAAGCATCCTCCACAATATGTGGACTTTGAGTACTTTGGTTGCAATGTTGTGAATTTTAGCTTATTTTTTAGTAGACTGTTAATGTTGTGTTACTAGTCACAGGAGAGGAATCCAGCTAAACTATGCCCTGCACTCAAGCCATAATTTGATAGTCTAAAATCATAAATGTTAAGCTTCTATTCTACCACAGTGTATCTAAAAAGAGGCCTTAGAAATACATGTCTCTGTGTTCAGTCAGCCTGTGTTTTGGGTGGCAGATACTTGCAAAAATAAAGTATTCTGTATAGCCACGTAATTAGGCGACGGTTGGAAAGTGAGACTCTTGGATGAAATTAAGATTGACAGCAGAAGATTTCATCATGAATCTGTATGAAGTTTGGTGGGGCAGTGATACAGCAGAAAACAGTGTCCAAAGTGAACAACCCTGAATCTCATCAGTAAGAGTAGAATTTCTCTTATTTATCTCTAATGGCCCACTGTGTTATGTGATAGACTTTTAATAGGTGTTTGTCAGATTTGGTTTTGTTTTTGTTAAATTCTGTCTGGTGGTTTCACATAAAAGTTTTGTTTATTTTATGAGCTTGTAAAGGCAAGAATATAACTTGGAAATCAACTAGACAGTTTCAGTACACTGCAGCTATAGTTGATACTTTAGATGTTGATCAGAAGGTATAATATTTGTGGAAATTAAACCAGCTACTCTCATCATGTCTTTCAGTTTCATCTTTTCATATATTTATAACAATTAGTTGTACACAGTCAAAAGTATGGGATTATGGAAGTATTGATATATTGGCTAAATGTAACTTGTAATAAATCTTTACCTAATGGTAATTTTCCTTTGAGTTTGAGAAATATTTGAATGAATATACTGTATTGCTTTCAGTGCAATTTTTTTCTGATCTTTCAAAGGATTTTTGTTTTACAAGTATTTCATTTAAAATTAAGTGTAAGATAAGGTTTATAATGCAACCCTTTAATTTCCATGGTGCTGAAAAACTTGGGAGTATTAAGCATTGCACTTTTGTTGTTACAAGTACTGTCCCAGTTGGGGTGTAAAAATAGGTCTATGAGAGATTATACTGATCTAAGTGGTATATATGGTAGGTGAATGGCAAAGCTTGGAATGCAAATAGATCCAGAGTCCTTGTCGCCCCCTTTGTAGGTTAAAAGTGTAAAGGTATCAGATTTAATAAGTATGTATTACAAGTAGGCAGTTATTTTCTAGTTAATTATAATTAAAAGCAGAGGAGGCAGTATTTCAAGGAGAAGCATTGAGTCACTTATCTAGTTCTTATTCTTTGCATTCCAGTGTATGAAAAACTTTAAATTGATTAAAGGTGAGCCTTAAAAAAAGAAGCCCAAAGAAAAACAGATGGTCCTTTCTTCCTGGAACCGTAGCTTTGGCTTGATAAATTGTGTGCAGTAAAATTTTCGAAAAGAGGTATTACATTTCAGTAATCTCAATTTCAGAAACATTCTCACAGCATTTCAGTACAACTTGCCAAAGCTGGCGTCTTGAGGGAGCACTACTCCGCTCTTAGCTGTTGCTGCAGTTTCTCATCTGACATCATCAGAAACTACTGACACATTCTGCAGTGTCAGTTTTCAAGGAGAATTTCTAATGGCATTGACAGTTTCCTGCGTAGTCTGGCAAGATAGGACTTCTCTACAGTACTTGTAATAGATATGTACAGTTTATATTCTCACCTATTCTCAGTTAATAAGGAATGGCATTGGAAGTGATACAGATTATGATGCAGTTGTGTTCAACATGTGCTATGGAATACATACTGTTTGAGTAGGTACCAAGGAACATACACAGTAGCGTCAGATGACCAGATAATGACGGGAAGTTAGTTGCATCCTTTTAATTTTTTTCCTAATAGTTTCATTTGTAAAAAGTCTTGTTGTGATATGAACCAGTAAGACTTCACTGGAAATAGAGATTTATTTTAATGAGGGACAATTCGCAAGTGTTGGGTGGGCTTGCAGTAATATTTGGATTTTAGTGGTTAAAAGTGCTACGACATCTACGTGAAAAATAAATTAAAATTTGGGTTTAATTTGAGCACTCTCAGATAAATTGATGGAAGAATGAGAGAGGGTAACCAAAGGGGTTAGTGTCAGTGCATGGCTGCTACGTGAGATAATACGAACCCTGGTTTTGCTTCATGCAGATGGAAAAGATAAGTAACACCGTAATTCAGTGTACAAATGTAAAGTATGCAGGTGCTGCAGGCACCATTGATGGACATATCTTGAAGACATTTTTTAAAAGGCTCACTAAGACTGCTGAAACAGGGAATTACAGCTGGAGCAGACTGGGGCAGAAATAGGTAAGGAAAGGACAAGGTGATGAAGGAAAAAAGAGGAGAATAAGCAAAGTTGGCAAATCTGGAGTAGTTAGGAGCAGAGATAACTGAGTAACTCTGTCCAGATCTCCATCTCTGTATTCAAGTTATTCTGTAGCTAACATTGCTCTTTTCTGTAGCTAACATTGCTCTTGAAGAGACTGCAAGATGTAGGAGCTTTTTAGTTGTTGTTTTTCACTCATCTGGTCACTCGTGTTATATAGCTCTCAAAGGCCCAAGTTAGGTTTGGCCCTTGTGTTAAGAGCCAGGGGGAAATAAAAAAAAAGGACTTGTGCTCTATTTCAGCACTGGCCTTAGCCTTACCAATCTTTTACTGCATGTCAGTTGATCCATTAGAGCTGTCCATGTGTGCAAGCTTCGCCTGAAGCAAATTCAAAGTAATTTGAGTCATCTTAGTTTTCAGTGAAGCAGGGCAAAACAACTCAAATTATCCTGCCTTTGCCACGGGCTAAGAGCATGCACACAGACAACTATGATGGATCAGAAGTAAAATATTGGTGTCGCTAAGCCTAGAAAATTTTAGCACTTAACTCAATTGGAGTATAGTTAAAGCAGCATACTGTGGGGAATCTGTATGCATTTATATTGGCATAGAAGTATTTGTGCTGCCACAGCTACTTCTGTAGGTAGGGATATAAATGCTTCAGCATAAAGTGTCTTTGATCAGGTTATAGCTGGATTTGCATTCAAATTCTTATCAATAGAGCATATTGGTTTAAAAAAAATTAAAAGTGTAACCTACTGAACTTTCTAGTATAGCTCATGTCTCAAGTATCTTTGTTACGTTAGAATAGACTGAAATGAGAATTTTGAGGAGCTGTGACATTTTGTCTTCTAGCATTTCGATTATGAGCTGCCAGACTTAATTACCTTTAGAGTTGTTATCCTACGTGGTTTTTAAAGTGGAAGTTGAAAAGTATGCTCTCTAATGGAAAGCACGGTTGTTATTCTACCAGTTGTTCACGGTGAAGACAGATATGCAAGACTCTCTTGACAAAGTTTTAA